ATAAGGAGTTTAGAAATCTCTCTTTATCAAGCTTTTTGGGCTAACTGTGAATGAGGTAGCTTTGTTGTGGTTGTATATCTTATCGTTGATGTTGTTGTTGTTATCTTCTCCAGTCTTCCAAGGATGCTATTTATAGCTGGATTGGATAATCTATCCGTTGAATCAAAATAGACTATCCGTTGCATTTGCTGGCTTCAATTTTGAATGAAGATTGTGATTTGAAGATTCCTCATTGGAATGGGTGTTTGGACATACCCAATTGTTTAAGGAGGGATTCCTTTTTCCACAGAATCCGTCTTCTAGCTGTTGTTCAAGAATTCTGGACTGTAGCACTTTACTCTGTTTGTCTTCTAGTGCTTGTTTAGGAATTCTGGACAGGCTCTTCAAGTTTTAGAGGTCCAGACTTTGTCTTCGAGTCATTTGTTCTTGAATCAGCATAATTATCTTCAGTCTAGCCGTTGAAAATCAAGAGATTGATTTTTCCTTACCAACAGGTAGAATTTCTTCATTTAAGACTTAGATAATTTTCTAAGTCTTTTCTCACTTGTCCGCTTTTTGAGAATTCTGGTCTTTCTTGAGGCATCCGGTTCTTAGCTGACAAATCCGGAAGAGTCATACTCAGTCTTCCGGGTGAGAAAGAAATCCGCGCTAGTCTTCCAACTTAGCCTTCAGCGGGTTGTAACGAGACATCCGGTTTTTATGTAGTCTTCCGGATTGGAGGATTTTCGTCTCCTTTGAGAAATCCTAACTTGTCTCTGACATTTCCGATCAAGATATCCAATTTCCAAATTACTGAATTTGATTAAGTCTTCAGGCATCAAACCGCTTAAAGAAATATCACAACTTTATTGGAAATCTCAAGAACTCGGTTTTAACAATATTTCTAAAAAGAAAAATTACATTGAATATTTGGGGAGACTATGGTGAGAATCTCGGCAGTAGAGAAGGTCTGTGGTGAAAATCTCGTATTTTTCAGGATTACACCATACACCTTCTCTGGAACAACACTCTCTCTATCTTTCTTCTTATTTTGAGAGATGTGTTGCTTTCAAGATCTTGAATATCCACTTTGGATATTAAAGATCTATCAAACGCAACGCCAACCGCTCTGCCAAGCAAGTTCTGCTGAAGTGAAAACGGTTAATGGTGGAAAATATCACAAAATCTCAAGACAAGACTTGGTTTAGGAATAATTGTAATTTGAATTGTATTTGTTTAAGAGTTTTTGTTAACAAGCTGTATATTATGAGAAACTAAAAGAAAGTTATAAAATTAGTTCTCAGTACAGCGACCGGAACTCTTAAACACTTGTTTGTCATCATCAAAAAGGGGGAAATTGTTGGGAAAAATATTATAGATTTTGATGATGATGTATTTAGAATGTAATAGGGACTTTAGGACCTTGAAAGTCTTTTCTTCTCATTAGGCTTCTTCCATTGCCGTCTATGAGGGTGAGAAAGAAAAGTTTCTCCATTGAGGATATTTTTCTTGGTGTGTTTCTCAGACAGTGAGTTTGAAGACTTCTCATATTGAAAGAGTTGTTTGTGATAGGAATGGATTGGGATGGCTTGATTTAAATAAGAGAGGAGGTAGAGAGAGGGGAGGTTCACGGGTTCCATTAATTGGGTAGTTGGAACGGTGAGAGTAAAAGAGTTTCAACTTCCAAGAAGTTGAAAAGTGGAAGGAATCTTTTACCAATTACCAATGAATTGAAACTGTTCTAATTTGAAAATCAGTTTCGTTTGGTTTGAGAACCATAACTGTTTTAGTTTGGCTAAGCCCAAAAGAGTGGCCCAAAAAGAAAAGAAAGCTATGTACTAAAGAGAAATTATTCCTACTGGGTTCTCAAGGCCCAAAATAAAACTATCATTTTTCATTCCCTATAGTTCTAATTTCTACTTAGGACGAGGTAGTACCAAAACAAATATGAATTTTATTTTTAAAAGAAAAGTGGTACTATTTTTCAAAGTCCTGTACATTTTAAAAATCCTAAGGACCAGTACTTTTAGAGCTTGTTGGAAATGAATTAAGGACTGAAGCTTAGTTTAAGAAGGCAGATTTTGTAAAGTACCTGAATCGGAGATTTCCAATTTTAGTACCAAAACTGAGATATCTGGTGGTCCCAAAGTGGTGAAATACAAAGTCTAGAGGGGGGGGGGGGTGAATAGACTTTGTTACAAGTTTAAAATCTTTTTCGTTTCTTTTGAAAATGAGAAAATGAGTGTTAATCTAGAGTCCTTGTGAACTTTAGATTGTGTGCGGAATTTGGTGGGTGGAGTGAACAGTAATTAATATGGATAGGTTAGTTTTCACAGTTAATATAATTGCAAGTAAGAATAAAGATAAGAGAGAGAGACACGCAAACTTTAACGAGGTTCGAAGGTGGGGTAATCCTTCTACGTCCTCAAAATCCACTATGTAGTTGGTTGTTGAATAATGAACCAACAGTTACACTTGTGTGAATTTCTGCACGGTATATCTTCACAAGA